TTTTTTTTTTTTTTTTTTAATTTTATAAACTTCGTCACAATATAAATTACATATCTAAATACTATAATGACTATAACACGTTCCGAGCTATCCTTACATGTATCGTTTTCCAGGACCAACAAACTGTTAAACCATATTAAAACAGACTAAAACAGACATGAAAACCGTAGATGCAAGATAACTCGCAATGCACTATAGATCTAACAATACAACAATTTACAACAATTGTGACAGGGTATTCACGACAGCTTTTGGCCAATTACTGTGATCCCATTAGACAACAAACAAATTATCTTAAACTATACAAAGCATTCACATTGTCTCTTAAAAAATTATCATTTAAAAACAGCATGCAAGAGGTTTAGTGAGATCATGAGTCTGATTACACTTTAAACAAATTGTTTTCCACGAACGAGGATCATCTATGTTATAATTAAGTTGTAAAGCAGAGAAGTAGTAGTCAAGTAAATATTTTTTAAAGGTATATAAAGAATTAGATTTATTAGTTATGAGTTTTGGTAAAGTATTCCAGATCCTTGTTGATCTGATTGTATAGGACTGTTGGTATGTCGCTGTATAGCATTTCTTCGTGCGGAATTGGAGACAGTTTGGTTGAACAGATTGTGTTGTTCTAACGTTCAGATTTTGCGTAGGAAGGACTGATCTCGGAAGATTTATGGCACCACAACTTACTTTAAATAAAAACATCATGTCCAAGTACTCGTGCCAATAGCTGATGGGAAGAAGCTTCAATTTCTTCAGTCGTTGCTCGTAACTGGCTTCGCAAAGAAAAGGCAGGCCAAGGATGTATTTTGAAGCACGCCTTTGTACTCGTTCTAATCTGGAGATGAGCTCAACGGACTGTGGTGACCAAACTTGCGTTGCATAACCGACTTGAGATCTTACGAGAGTTAGGTAGAGGGCACGACGCGCTGATTGACTGGTGATGTTTCTTGTGGATCGTTTTACAAATCCCAGCAATTTATTTGCCTTTGAACATTGTTCCAAGACTTGTTTTCGCCAGGTCAAGTTGTTGGAGATCCATACACCCAAATCAAATTCATGTTTTGAGGTCTCTAAGGTTTGGTTAACCAGACTGTATTGATGCTCGATTGTCTCGCGCCTTCTGGTAACACGGAGAGTTTTACACTTCGAAGTGTTTAATTGAAGACCAGCATTCGAGGAACTGGTTTCAAAGTTTAATAGGTCATCCTGCAACGCTGTAGCATCATCAAGGCAGTTTATCTCTTTAAATAATTTGGTGTCATCAGCATAAGTTGCGATAGAAGAACTCACGATACTGGAAGGTAGGTCGTTTTCGTATAACAAGAACAGTAGTGGACCAAGAATTGAGCCTTGAGGTACTCCTGAAGTTACTGGTGTAGGAGATGATGTTGCTCCAAGGATTGTCGTTTGTTGTCTACGATCTTGTAAGTATGATTGGAACCATTTGAGGATGTTACCACTAAATCCGAAATCACGTAGACGAAGGAGAAGACGCGTGTGGCTCACCTTATCGAAGGCTTTCGACATGTCCAGGTATAAGACATCGATTTGTTTACCACGATCCAACAAGTTACCAATCGTGTCGAACACTTCGATTAACTGAGTGACGCAATTTCTTCCTGGGATGAAGCCATGTTGACAAGGATTAATCTGGCTAAACACGCGATCTTTGATGCATTCGAACAAACAGCGTTCCAGTACTTTAGATATTAAAGACAGCAGAGATATTGGTCTATAATTTTCAACATATTCTTTATCTCCCTTCTTAAAAACAGGAACGACATTGGCCAGTTTCCATTCTCGCGGTACTACTCCAGTGCGCAGTGACTTGTTGAACAGATCACAAAGCGATGGTGCTATTACTGACGCTGTTTCTGTAAGTAGACGAGCGGGGATACCATCCGGTCCGTGTGCTTTATCTTTGTCAAGAGTTCTTAAGACTGCAGCAACATGATCTGGTGTTAACGTGATGTCTTCTAACAAGGTGGTGTTTGTAGAAAGGTCACAATCTTCGTCGATCGTACGCGAATATTTTTCCGTGCTAGGTTGATCTCTGGTGAAGATTGAAGTGAAATAGGTGTTAAAGATGGATGCGATGGCTTCTGGCGATTCTGCAGATGTTCTTGCACCTTCACTTTCAGCCATCGACACTTTCTCAGGAACGTTGCAAACCTTGGATTTCAATTTGAATATCGACCAAAAGCGCTTCGGATGATTGCTGCGATCTGCACAAACACAGTTTATATACCTTGAGCGACTATCACGCAACATTTTTTTGATGGTAGCTCTAAGTTCCTTGATTTTTGCTTTAAGATGCTCTTTTGGTGTTTTAGATTTTTTCAGCTTACGTCGTAGAGAACTTTTCTTTTTGATATTGTGTAGTATGTCGCTGTTCATCCACGGCACATAATTCCGGCCACGTATCTTTGTAGATGGGATGTGGTGTGACACCGTATCGACAAAAGTATTTCTCCAATTTCTCCAATCATCGTTGATGTCACTGTCAGCAGAGATAGTTGCGGAAAGGTTTAAGGATTCTAGAGCTGATCGTAGAGCAGTAAAGTCACCGCGGCGATAGTCGTACACAGTTCTCTGTATCTTGGGTGCACGTTTGGGATGGAATAAAAGTTCGAAGTTGATGACGTTGTGGTCGGTGAAGATTTCTGCTTCTGCAGGAGACCAGACATCACATACTTTAACCAGATCGGGGATGTTCGTGATAACGAGATCGAGTATGTTGTCTCCTCTAGTCGCTGTGTTGTTTAGTTGAACGAGAAAATAATCATGAAGAAGTTCGATGAAGGTACTCTCGCTGACTCCCGTAGTTGTTTCCGGCGAGTTCCATGAGATCTGTGGTAGATTAAAATCTCCTGCGAGTACAATATTTGCATGGTTAGAGCAAACACCCCCTAGAAAGTTGTTAAATCTTTCCATCCAAGTCTGATCCTCGTTTGGAGGACGATAACATGAAGCAACAAGTAACTTCATATCAGAGGCAGTCGTTAATTCAGCTACCGTAATTTCTATGTTATAGTTGTGTTTGATCTCTCGCACAGATTTAAAAGAAGATGACTTTACAGCGAGCAACACTCCACCTCCACGAGATTTTCGATCTTTTCTGAATATCGTGTAGCCCGAGTGTAAAATTTCTAAGTTATCTGGCCCAATGTCCTCCCTCAGCCAGGTTTCGTTCACACAGACAATGTCACTGTCCTCAGTGTACACTAAGTTCTGGAAGCGCTCCATATTACTACAATCCCCTTCGCTATTGTTTGCTCCGTGAAAGCTTGTTAAGCTTCTAGCATTAAGTGCAAGACATTTCACTGATCGGTTGTTAACGATGTTTGGTAAAGAAGAGCAAGGACCAGGATTTGTCGCCACATCCCCAGCCAATAGAATACATAAAATGACATGAAGTAACTTACGATTAGTTTGTAGTTCAAGTCCGTAGCGATGGTTGTGTGGGTAGTTAAGTTTTCTTTGCTTAAAATCCCGAGTAGATGCCCAAATACAGCACAAATTCTCCGGTAAAGAAACAAGTTCAGAGTTAATAATTATTCCATTTAAACTGGTTTCTTGATAAGGATGATCAATTCTTAGTTTTAAACACAGCCAGAGAATTGTCACGATTAAAATTAAACATTTCACTCCGTTAGTTATTAGGTCAAAAATCCCGTAATTTTGAAAATAGTTCCAGGCGAATTGCGTCCGATTTCGTCCATTAATTAGCGATGCACGCGCGCATAGTTTAAAAGTGCGCGCTGTCGTCAGCATATTGATGGCGATTGTATACGATCACGCGTATAACCAACTGAACAAACGATTTTAATTACAATTTCAGATCCAGTGATCAAATCCACGTAAATTAGTTACTTTCTCGTCAAATATAAATACAAAAACCGATCGCAAACCTCAGGACACTTTAGACAATGTTCTTATCCACAACTTTTACTCAAATTTGTATCCAATCTTGAGTGTTAAAGGGGAAAAAACACTAGACTTTTCCAGAGCGCTTAGCGTGCGTGCGCACGCGTCAGGCGCGATTACGACAAATTGACCAATTTCAATTCTGTTTGTGGTAAACAGGTCAGGAAGGAAAGCACTTTTAATTAAGCTAAAAAAATGAGGGTCGAAAAATTCGCTGCAGTAGCACTTTAAATAAGCATTATAAAAGCTAGTTTGACTGCAGCCATATACGTGCTCATATAAATTGCCAACTTGAAGATGCGATGACGCAGATGAAGGCTAATAAAGGTTAATGACGAAAATCATATCACTTGAAAAAGTCAATTTATTCATGTTTTAGAAGGAATAAAACATAGACTAATGTTCAGGATAAATAATAATACCTGGTGGTTAGTACATACTAAGCTTTTGGACTGTCAAAATGTTTTATGGTATATTTTTCCGAGTTGAAGAGAGAGGTTTCCCATTCGGCACGTCCAAACTTCGTCATTTTTTCAAAATACAAATTAAGGTGGCTCAATACGCTTTTTAGCCAAAGCAGCGAAAGTTGAATATTTTCTGTTTAAATGCTTTTACAGGGTTAACTTTTACTTATAATTGTAACACATAGTAAGACGCGTGTCGCAAACAAGAAGACTTCTGATAAAAGTCGCGTTTCCATGACAACTATAACAAATAATGGTAACACTAAATAGCCTAAAATATCGCAGTTTTTCGAGGGTTTTTTTTCCATTTTTTTTTAATAAATCAGCTACGTTAGTGTCGAGAACATTTCTGGAAAGTTTAAAAAATCTGTCGACTCAATTCTTTAGATTTAAACTTCGACTTTTTTGACAGTTTCTGTCGACAATTTTCTTTCATTTTTCCATCTTGAAATCTTGAAGTACGTATCTACTCATGTACAAATTTTCAGGGTAACTTACCGAACTCGTTTTGGAAATAATCACGGTTTTATTTCGCGCGGCCAAAGTTTTTCACACACTGCAAGATCAATGAATTCACATGCGCGTACATATTTTTGCAGGCGCATCTCCAGAAAAACACGCAAAAAAAGATTTTAGTCTCGTCGAAATATCAAATATATATTGTGTTTTCTTGCTTAGAATTGCAAATATATTTAGTTTTGCATGCTAACTCGGGATAACGCCAAGAAAACATGTGACCGTCGATCGTTCGGTATAAGATATGTGTGACATGCATGAACTTTTTGGATTTTCTACATAGTTTTATATTCGTTTTCGGTCTAACTTGTATGTTTTCATGTTGTTGTTGACAAGTTAAAACAGCTTGATCCGGCGCATGATGCTGTTTCGCTGAATCCCTTTGCTGTTAGTAACACTTTGAATACATTTACCAGTTGTAAGTACAAAAGATATGAACTTATAAATCGCCAAGTATTGGAGTAAAAAAACTTTTCGCCTGTCGGGCCGATCGCCGGTTATCACAAAAGTTTGAACGTTGAACATTGCATTTTTTACCTTAAATTGTCTTCTTGTCTTAAATTGTACTAGTCATTCCATGTTCAGAGCTATAAAATCAGGACGAAGTTTGCTCTTTGAGAACAAATGAGAAGAAGGAAGACTCAAAACATCAAAATAAACATGACTTATGGTTCGGACTTTAGACTGAAAAAGTTGTATTTACTTTTTCATATATTTTTAACATTTTCGCGCGAAAACTCGAGATTAGGTATCAGTTCCCCAATGATGAAAAGTGTATGGAGCCACCTTAACCAAAACTCCTCACTTTTTGCTGCAAAGAGATGAAGAACAGTCGGAACTAATCGCAAAACCTGGTTTGAATCCCAATCATTGCATTATTCCTATGGAAAAACTGTTTTTCTTGGATATTTTTGCTTGAAAATAAACTTTTGACCGAATTTTTTCACTCCTCGAAACTCGCCTTAGTTTTTTTGAAAGCTGATTTTCCCGCCGTCTGCTTCAAATAAAAATAGGACTTCATCACAGGAGTTAGCCAGTTTATTTATAGTCGTAGATATATTATATACACCACATAGTGCATCTAATTATTCTGCGATTCAAAAATTGAAGCCGTGATTGCAGACTCGGGATATTCCCATGAAATGAGAAAACTCGTATTTTATTTTTATTTCTAAAACATTAACATACACTTAAACCTATTCCAAATACGTTTTCAAACAATTCAAATGATGAAAGTTATTGTTTTTTAGCAAGTAGGAAACTCGAACCTGGCCGCCATCTATTCAAATGGGGGTAACTGCTGGAATAACCTTTGCTTCAATTTTACTAATTGTAAAAGATATCTATGCTTATAGTTCGATGCGTTCATGTCACCGGTTCGTGTCGGTTGATGTCGACAGTTTTTCGAAAGAAAGCAGGAAAGATAATACATATGGATTGTCTATTTATTGTCTAAAATCATTTTTGTTCAAAAAATGATGAAATGTCTTAAAATTTAAAGTTATCTTATTTTTCCAAAACTGCTAGGCTACTTTTGGGTTTCTGAAAACAAAAATCTTGACAAAGGATACGAAGTCGCATACCTAATTAGAAGCGTCTTAACACCATTGAACTAAAAATAACTTATTTTTATTTTCTATATTATATTAATTAGTGCCGATATCTATATTAATTATTTTTAGTTCAATGCTTAACACTGACGTCAACGTTCTTTAATTTGATTGGATAAAATATTACAAGCAAAGCAAACCTGCATGTCAATCATGTTTCAATCCTCATCCAGCTGAATTATTATCTGCCACAAATTAAATAAAAATGCTGCTTTTAATTAATTAAAAGTTGTTTAAAAAAGTAAATTAAGGGACGAAAAAAGATCTAAACGACACATTTATTAAACGCTCAATCGTTATAGCTAACCAAGAATTTCCAAAATACTTTTCAAGTTGGTGATTCTGCAAGCGAAAAAGGCAGTTTACTTAACGGTCAACCATGACCAAAAGATTGTAGGCCTACGAGTTTATACAGCTTACGTTCAAACGGTCTAACTACTACAAATGTTCAAGTAATGAGGTTAATTGTTCAGGCAATGATGTTGTTCAAGTTTTGATGATTTCCTTTCGTTGAAAACTAGCTTTTGAAATACATTTTTAGAACATTAAGTTTTTGTCTATCGTAATTTTGCTGCTATTCTTTTGTTTTACTCATTTCACTCTTGCCGTTTTATAGCGTTATTTTATTACTATTTGATTGTTCGTAACATTATACCGTATTCGAGACAATAACTTTGCTTCGTCGTGGACGGGAAAAACATCAGCAGACAAGGGCAATACGGCTTTTGATATTACTGTCTAATCCGCTCTCAGATTATTCGTGTTTTGGTGAACTTGGTTTTTAAAAATCACGCCATTGTCTTATAATAACTTTGCAGATTGTATGCATAATAATCACTTCTTTGCAATTGTAAGGTTCAAAAGATAGGTATGATAATGATTTTAATAAGCTGTCGTTTATTACAGCGATCTTACTATTAGATCATTGATGTGGTTTGAACATAAAATAGCTTCACTATGTCGGAATCTTATGAAACTGCATTTTTTTTATAATTGCGGAGGTTTTCTTGGAATATAATGAGGAGAATTTCCTTCCCCTTGGACAAAGATTTTGCAACAATATTTACTAATACTTACCTAGTTGATAATCATTAGGGTTTATGTTATATACATACATACATACATACATACATACATACATACATACATACATACATACATACATACATACATACATACATACATACATACATACATACATACATACATACATACATACATACATACATACATACATACATACATACAGCCCGCAACATAGGCGTACGGGAAGGAAAAAATTAGGGGGGCAAAAAGAAATTTGCCCGACTTTTTCGAATTGTACCCGACCAGTGCCCGAAAAATTTTTTTCCGGAACAATAAATTTTGGAGACCTCCCCCCCCACCCCCCGTCGCCAAAAAAATTTCAGTGTACCATTAGGGGTCTAAAAATTTTTCGCACATACCAAAATTTTTCGGAACTTCAAACAAATTTTCCCAAACATCACAAAATTTACATAATTTCCCGCAAAATTTGCAGAATTTATCCCATTTATTTTTATAATAACCCAATTTTGCCCTATTGCCCGACTGTGAAGCGAATATTGCTCAACTGGCTTGGTTTGCCCAACAAACTGGGGTTATTATTACGAGAGATTTTGTTGCTTTGACTACTTTTTGCCCGACTTTTGTTAAACATTTGGCCGACTTTTCGACTTTGTAATCTTTTTGGGGGGCAGTTGTGGCCCCCCCCTGCCCCCCTCCCGTCCCGTACGCCTATGGCCCGCAATAAATTAAAGAAAATTCACCGTTAATCCTTTATTTAAAATTACTAATTGAAAAAAAATCAGAAACTAAACATGTAGATGGATCGCCGAGTTGCATCCTCTAGCTACGTCTTGTCACGCCGCCTCATTGGGAGGACTCGTTGTTGGCTCCACCGTGGGCATGCATTGCTTTATCCAAATCCTATGTCAACACAGAATCGGATACGTGTGTAAGATAATTTTCCTGAAATGTTCAACGTCATAAGAATCAAACATCAGTTACTCAGGTTTAATTTCTAAAGAAAACAACCATTTAAGAAATTACGCCACATCACGTGCTACGATTCATTTTTTGATAATTATAAAGGCTTTTATTTTGCGAGCTTGCCACAACAACAGGTCTGGGGACGTTTGTATAAAACACTTAATCACTTTTTTAATCACTATTTTGTAGTTAAATAGAAATTTCATACCTTTTATCTTTCACCTGGATGCAGGTGTGTTAGCATACCATGACCAATTCAATGCTTAGCTTTGTCACTGATTTTACGCAAACATTGTTGTGACAATCTCTCTCTTTCTAGACGAGGACAATTGTGCGATTAACAATACCTGTCCATCAAACTCGACATGCGCAACTATTCCTGGTACTATCGCATGTTCATGTGACACTGGATTTACTGGAAACCAGACATACTGTCAAGGTAAACAATTTCTTTGGAATATATATATATATATATATATATATATATATATATATATATATATATATATATATATATATATATATATATATATATATATATATATATATATATATATATATATATATATATATATGATAGTTTTGGAGTTGAAGCTGGTCTAAAATTCTTTTTAAAATACTAGAATATGTACAATAAAAAGTCTAAAAAAGTTCTAAATTTTCGGTTGCTAACTGCAACCTTCATCAGAGTACTATATAAGAGCAGTTCGGATAGTTCAAGGTTTTTAAATATCGTCATTATTGCCACATGATTGCACAAGCGATAAATACATGCGTGGGAATTCTTTGTGTTCGTTAATTGTTTTATTGTCTAATATTGAATGCATCGACTCGAGGAACGTTCGTTTTTCTAAATTATGTACTCTTTTCTCTAAGATTGTAGCATTGTTAATAGAGGCATTGTGTCCTGTGCTTTCTGCGTGGTCTTTGATTGCTGACTTAATTTCTGGTCTTACGCCTGGTTTGTGTTCTGCCCAACGTGATTTCCACGATCTCTTGCTTTCTCCAACATACTTAAATGAGCAATCTGGACATTCGAATTTATAAACAATTCCTTTAACCTCCGTGATCTTCTGCTTGTCTTTTGGTTTACATATATATATATATATATATATATATATATATATATATATATATATATATATATATATATATATATATATATATATATATATATATATATACCGGGTGTCCCAAAAAAAAGTACTTCTGTTTGATTCGTAATCACTTCTAAACAAGTAAAGCTTTTAAAGAGAAATAACTTGCATCAAATAGAGAAAGGACTAACTTAGATTTTGATATATTACAGTTGAATTTCACCTAAAAATTAACGGAGATATTAATGTTTAATTTTTCACCACGTCCCAGTTGCGTCGATCAGCACTGATCGATTGCAAGATATTTAATATCTTCGGTTCAGTGCATGTTATGAAGACAGAAATACCACCATTCGATTCAGAAAGAAAAGATTCAACTAATTCCTCCCTATAGTTATAGTCATCATCAACATTGTAGCGATTTATGGGCCTTTGAAGTCAAACACGATCATATTGTATCAAATTACGCAATTGTCTGAACAAAAATATAGACTAGCCATACCTTTTGCCGAAAATAACTTCGGCCCCTTCGAACATATCGTCTTTGTAATAGTCTTGTTAAAATCCCCATTAAAAACACTACTTAGAGTGTTATTTGCAAGCCTGTATCTTCAAATCTGTATCTTTTATCAATATATTTTTATTTCTTGCCCGACTGTGAGCTCGAAGTGAGTTAATCCCAACCGGAAATACGACTGAAAATCGTCAAAACAATGCGAAGCTTGTATTGTATGACCCTGCAAAGGCCAGAAATG